TGTAAGTCCGATTGCTTTGATACTATACATATTGTTCATTTTCTAATGATGTCTTCAGTTCTTTAATTGAAATGTGCATTGCTAACAGCGGAGCTATCTCAGCCGATAGGCTGCTTGTTTATCATATATCGGCAACATTTTGTAGGATTCAACCTTGTATGGATAGTGAATTGACTTTCTTACCATATATGGGCAACATTTTGTAGCATTCAACCTTATATAGATAGTGATTTGACTTTCTTACCATATATGGGCAACATTTTGTAGCATTCAACCTTATATGGATAGTGATTTGACTTTCTTACCATATATGGGCAGCATTTTGTAGCATTCAACCTTATTTGGATGGTCACGTGACTTGATGTATGACAATTTAAAACCTGGTTGTATATTAAGATTTTTTGTGAATAATCATTTAAGGCATAATATTTGCCGCATAAATTTTGAGCATAATAGTGTCCATATTGATCTGTCACTTGCAATAATCTTGACAGTTCATACTGGTCTGCTTTAAATTTCATTTTTTTGTGCTATTGATCAAAGTTAATACTGTTATGTATTTTTGCTTTCCCACCTTTGGCAATATGGCCATTTTAACAAACAGTGCAGTGGTTTATTTGTATTTTAGTTTATCAAGGTGTACAATTATCATATTGCAAGTTTTTCTTCTGTTTCACGTCTATTTCTACAATTGAGATTCTATATTCTGCGGTTAATTTATTACTTATCTGCAACACGCTTCTCTGGTACAAGTAGTAGTAGTACTCGTACTTGCAAATATATGTACGATTAATTTGTCCCATTTTAACAAATGCAAATTATTAGTTCTAGCATTCTGAGTTTACATTGGAATCACCAACTGGCTTGCCGTGAACTTGTTAAATTTCAGCTGGTTCTGATCACTTAGTCAATGGGAGAACTGTCCATGTCCAACAGATTAATATTAAAGACTTACTTTTATTATGATCACTTGATAGTTGAGTTGATCATGGTTTACATCAATCACAGATACCAATATAACTGTCTATTCCTTGTTGTTAAGCATGTATAAATACACATGTGATACACACTGCTGAATTTGCTGAAATCAATCTATGTTCATATCATCTACTCATCCATTGTACAGTGCAAGTCATCCATTCATTGTTTTTGCTGTTCAATCAATTAAATGGTGAAAACTGACTATTATCATTTAGTAAGAGTGCCAAGATGGTAATGTCATCTCATTTTCGATTTGAAACTGTTACATGACTTAAAAATAGACATATTGTTTTCTGAAGCTTCTAGTCCTAGATACACTATACATTAAACTTACCACATGTCATGCATGGTCAAAAGTGAAAAATCAGACAAGTCTACACTTCTATACCACCTCGCATTAGGCGCGCCAATGTGGAATGTTTTCCCCCACCCCTCTTCACTTGTGTACATTTCGATCCATCGTCATCTCAGGAACCAGTTGTTCAATTCATATGAAATTCAGATTTCTATTTTGAAAAAACCTTAATTTGCATATCTACGGTAGTTACGTTTCTTCCTTAATGTTGCAACTTAATATCTTGTAAAATGAGCAAATATGATACTAGGGGTACTTCTAGTTGCAAAATTCAAACAATCTTTCTGTAGTTGCTTATATAAATTATGCATATTAA